CCTGGCGCAGTGCTGTCTGGGAGCGTCTCTGAATGGCGCTTTTGACCCCAGAGGGAGGCTTTCTGCTGGACTTAGCCCCGGTCTGTTAGCTTGTGTTTGCTCTTTGTGACTGGAAGAGGGTGGGAGCGCCCCACCCCGGGTAGGTAGGCTGCATCTTGGTGCTTTTGCTTCTCAACACCACCCCCCTCCAATGCTGCCCCTTCCTGAGAACCATGTTTGAGATTTATGAAGCCTTGCTATTTTTTTCCTTTGAGCGCAAAATTATGTCCTCAAGATAGAACATTTCATTAGCAGTCCTAGGAAAGTGGAAATGAATACAGTGAAATAAAGTTGAAATCCATTAGCAAGTTCTGCTCCATGTGAAATGACTTCTGCCTGGCAGAGAGCCACTACTTAAAAGAAACTTTCATCCATTTACTTTGCTTTAAGGCCTTCTAATCGGGTCTAACATCCTGTCTTCTACTATTGTTCTAGAACTAGAGCGCAAAGGTCTCCTCCAAGAACATGTGCTTATCACTTGCACCCCTGTATCCTACTAACTCTCTGGACAGGCTGGCCGCTGGGATGGCCCCGCAGGGAGACACATCACTAATTGTATCTGGCGCTCCCTTACAATGTGGTGAACTACGCCGTGTCGACAGTCTCTTTCTGTTTTACTTCTTTTTAAGTAACGGACACTCTTGACCTCAGAATTCTATTTCATCACATCTCTGCATGCTTAACACGCGTGACTGGTACGCAGAAGCGGAACGTGACGTCTGTGTCAGGCAGGTGGCGTCGCCAGTGGCTGCTTCTCTGATTGCCCCTCAGTGACAGGGTCTGGCCTGGGCCGCCCAGGGCAGCTGACCCAGGAGCCTCCGAGGTCCTCCAGAGGAAAGAGCCAGCTCTCCCTTCTCTGTGAATTGCCACTCCCAGTTCACAATAGATACCTAATAAATGTCTATTTAACGATTACTATCAAAACCCAACTCATCCTGTTGTGTGAAAAGCCCCCCCCAGAAAACTGGCATTTCTGGCGATGATGGGGACCGTCTGTGGTCTCGGGAGCCAGAGTGCGCCCCTGCACCCACTGCTCACTTCCATCCCAAGGGTCCTGCTCTGGCCTTCACTCCCCATCTCCCCCTGACCCCCGTCTCCTCCTTAGCTCCCCACAGTGTCTGGCACCTGAGGGCACTCAGGCACTCATGTGCCTGTTGATTCCGGTCAGAATGAGTCGTCCCAGTCTCTTCCGACCTCCAGCGCTTTCCAAGATGGTAACAAGCTAAGCAGCAGGAGACTTGGTCTCCCCAGTGACTCCCCCGCCAGGCCCCGCCCACACACAGCATCCAGGTGAGGGGCAGGGTCTTGCCAGTGGGGCCACTGCCCTGCGCTCCCTCCGCAGGCCTGCTGGTCCATGCATTCTTCAAGGCTTCATCAGCTCCGTGTCTTCTGCTGCCTCGTGGCTGGTGGTGTCTCCAGTGCTGCGCTGCGCTCACTAGTTCCCAGGGAGCCAGAGGAAAGGACTGAGCCAGATCTTCCCGCATCTCCCTAATGCCAAGCAGCCCCCCTCCCACCCACCCCACCCCCCCAGCAGACCAGACCAGACTTGACTCTAAGTGCCAGGGAGGCTGGGAGGGAAGAGAGGCAGGGAGAGGGAAACGCGGTGGCCTCTCTAACACGGAGGCCACTGAAAGCAGGAGTGACTGAGCCTAAAGGAGAAGAGAGGTGGGGGTGAGGGTGGGGCCTGCAAGGCTGCGGGGGGCCTGGAGCCGCCCCCAGGTGGCTGGGAGAGACCATCGGTCTTCCCCTCCCGTCCTCCCCAGCTGGGACTCAGGGCAGCAGGGCCCAGGGGCCCTCCACCTCCTCGCTTCGTTCCGGACAGGGCTCACTTGGTGTGAACTGTTTTCCAGCAATTTCTGGCTTGTGGGGGGCCAGCCCGAGTCGGGGCAGCGTCCTTGAGAGCCTTCCAGGTACAGGAGGGTGAAGCGAACCAGTGGGCCCTGCCGAGGCCGCTTCTCACACTGGCCAGCACCCCCAGGCCTGGCCGGGTGCTCACCCCGAGTCACCAACACCGCGGCCGAGGCAAGCCGGGAGGATTCCCTGACACAGCTGTGACGTTCAGCCCGGCCACAGTTTCCTTGACCCGGGAGAAAAGCCCGTGCGGTTTGGGGTTGGGGAGCGGATGAGCAAGTTTTTTTTTCCTCGTTGCCCGTGGCTTTAAATTGCAACCTCTCTTTTAATTTTCCATTATGCCTTGAACCCATCTGTGCCAGAACTGGACAAATCTGTTCCGTCTGGGAGGATGAGCCCAGACAGCTATAAATTAGTTGGTGACCGAGTTGCCAAAAATGTGGCCTCCTGGTAGGGTGTCCCCAGCGTCGCCTCCTCCAGTCTCCGGCGTGGCCACGGGCCTTGGCCTGTCGCCCCTGTCAATAGATTTCTGCTCTGTATCTGGAAACTGTCTTTCCGTCCAGTCAGGCTAGGTAAGCGACTTGCCTCCGAGTCTGTGCGGGCACAGAGGGGCAGCCTCCGCCGTTCCTGGGGGTTCCCCAAGGGCGTCCCTCGCTTTCCCGCACCAGAAGCGGCAAAGCCCTGGTTGCGGGTTTCCTCCCTCCCTGAAGCACGGCCCGAGGAAACCCCCTTGACTGTTTCTGCGTGGAACAGATAAACCCCTGTGTACCGCTTAAAAAGCAACATTTTAAACCTCTGGGAAAATGTGCTTAATGCCGAGAACCCCGACAATCTAGTGCACGAAAAAGTTACCCGTAACCCCAGTCTCTTGAGATAACTTCTGCTGATATTTTAGTGTGCTATTTCTCAATATTTTTTTAAGAAACGCAGAGATCTTTTAAAGCTGGTGGAGCCTGCTTCCTTGAGCTGCCCTCACATTATCCAATTAGCGCTTTCCTCTAAATACTGGAAACTTTTAGTGATTCCACACTGGAGTGTCCAGCTGGTCGAGCTCTGCCCTCTAACTCCTCCTAGCTGAAGTCAGGGCTTCCTGAGGGAACCTCTGGGGGAAGTGGCCTGGAGGGGCTAGTAGGCTTCCTGCAGAGCCAGCCCCAGCGGGAAGGGGGCCTTCGTCAGACCCCACAGGCAGAGGCCCCGAGGGCGTCGCTCAGACCCTAACTTCGCAGCCACTTTTCCTCATTGAGTCTTTCTCTGACGGGGCCCGGGTCTCCGTGCCCCCAGCTTCCCTGTCAGGGCCTGTAAACTGCTCTGTTAAGGGCAAAGGCCACACGGCCGAATTGAATGGCTGGCAGAACCCGGAGGCTGCTTCTGCCTCTCTGCTTCCTCGGCCTAGTGTGGCCAGAAGGTGCCTGTGCGTATCTGCCGGCTGGTGGACACAGAGCAATTCGAGGTGCTGTTTGCAGAGAGCGGACTCTCGGCAGTTGGGCCCCACCTGCAGGGGCAGAAGAGGCCGGCCCCTTGCAGAGGCACAGCCGGGGTGGGGGAGAGGAAGTGGGGTGAGTCCGCCAGCCACTCAGCCTCGCCATGAGCCACACAGCACACAGACCTCGCTTCTTCAGAAAATTATTTTTTCCTTTCTCACTTTCCATGGAAACTCAAAATAGCAACCAAAGGGAAAAAAACAGCCAGGCGCTCTCCCTGCGTGCAAAGCCAGCCCTGGGCAGTGCAGTGACCATGGGGCTGGCGGGAGAGAGGGCTCGCGACGCCTCCAAACAGCCCTGCAGCGGGCTCTGCTCACTCGCCGGGTGTAGGCGGGTTCTGAGGTTGCTGTGTTTCCTTCCAGTTGAGAAAAGTGGGTTTCCCCTGGGTCTGGGAGTTCATCTTGCTCTTGGTGACCTGGCGGCGGAAACACAGCCCCCTCTCACTGGCGTCCAGTGAGTGCCCTGAAGTGTCCAGCAGGGCTAGGCACCTTCCAGATGCCTCCGAGGCTGAGCCCATCACTGCAGGGCAGCTGGCGGGGTGGGGGCCGCTGGGCTTGGGGTGAGGGAGCCCTGGTTCTAACATCCCATCAGGCCTGGGGCAGATGGCTTCTTGTCCCCTGTGACCCACGAAGGGTGACGAGGTGCTCTCCAGCAGGGGACCTGGCAGCTCCCAGCCTCGGTGCCCGCTGGCTGCCCGGGCACCCCGTGCCCCCTTCTGTCCTGAACGCCCTGCTGTTTGCCTTTCAGCTGGCGGGCTCGGCTGTCATTGCTTTTGGACTATGGTTTCGGTTCGGAGGCGCCATGAAGGATTTCTCGTCAGAGGACAAGTCCCCAGAGTATTTCTATGTGGGTAAGTGACTTCTGCCTCCCGCCTGGTTGCCAGGGAGGCCCAAGGCTGAGCAGAGCCAGCCCTGGGCTTTGGGAGGGAAAGAGAGGGCAAAGTCTGAGCACCTGCAGATTCCTCTTGGCTGGGGGACTGGGCTGGGCAGCGGGAGGGGCCCGCTGCCCAGGCCCAAACCCAGATGCTCCCACCCTGAGGGCAGTCAGTGGGGAGACGGGCCTGTTGGGTTTCCTTCAGCCACTTCAATAAAGGAAGCCCAGAGCACAAGCACAATTCACTTCCAAAGAACTGGAAAATGCCCTCTCTCCGCTAAGGAAAGGGCTTGCCCCACAAAGTGAGTCATTCACTGGTCAGTCTGGGTGATAAGGGGACCCTTGAGAATCAGGATTTTGTTATGCAGTCTCGTATTTTATGTTGTGTACACAAGGAATAGAACGCAAAATGAAGAGGGTCATCTCAAGTTCCACCTCATTTGGAGGTGGAACTGAGGTCCTCCAAGACTAGGAACCGCCTACGGGAAGCCGGTGGCAGGCAGACTTCCTGGGGGAAGGCGGCGATGGGGAGGGTCAGTACCGCAGACTCGGCGGGGGTGTAGTCTTTAATTCTAATGTCCTGTGGGTATGATGTAAGTGGGAGCTGAGCATTCGCTCCGATTCCTGGGAGGAAAGAGAGCCCCACCCCACACAGGGCCAGGGGGTCCTTGTGAGGGCCCCTCCCCACCACTCACCTCCCCTCCCCAGCGCCTTCCTGTGTCCACTCCTGCCAGGAAGGAGAGCAGACGTCTAAGAAAGGACAGGACGCTCTTAGGGGAAAGTGACAAAACACACCACTAAAGTTGCATAATAATGTTTCATCAAATCTTAAGGTGCAGATGTAAAGCGCCCAAGTAATTATACATTCCACTAAGGAAAGACGAAAAGCTGCCCACTGAACTACGGCTCACCGTCAAGGAGACAACGAATTTCAGAAACACTGAAATGCTTAATTTGATGTGTGTGTGTGTTTATATGTAAATATACACATGTAACATACATGTGTAATATGTGAAATGTGGTAAAATCTGGACGTGGGGATTCTCCAGAGTTGGTTCAGGGCTCCATGAAGCCATCAAAGGCCCAGGTTCTTTCTGTCTTCTTACTCTGGATCCTCAGAACTCAGAATATGCTCAAACACTCCCCTTCAGGATGACAAAACCGCTGTGGTAGCTCCAAGCATCACCTCCTCAGACAATAAGATCCAAAGGGAAACAGAGGAAGGTTTCCATCAAATGTCCTTTTCAGGACTGAGTAAAACATGTGTCAGGACTCTGCAACAAAGTTCCCCTGACTGCTTTCCCTTCCGGTGATAATAAACGTGTGGTTATCAAAGAGCCTCCCCGTGGTTATCTTAATTTCACCAAATGTATGGTTTTAGGCAAACGTCATGGTTCCAAGCAAAGGCACCTCAATCCCACCCATTCTTTGCAGGCTCCTCCATTAGCACAAAATATAACCTACTGTGGCTACATCAGCCCGCATCTGGGGTCACGCAGTAGGACACGGCTCTTGCCTCCATGTTACGTACCATCTACCTGAAGAGATGTCTGGACGCAACAGTCGGGGTCAGAAACTGGCGTGTAACTGAGTGTCAGCTAAGGGTACCATGGTGCGTGCAGCAGGGTCATTCTGAACGGGTGAGGCCAGGAAGACCTGGTGAGGTTAGAGAGATCTCCGCGTGGCTGGGGAGAAGAGAGAGGAGGAGACTCTGGCTTTGAGGCAGGGGAGCGAGGCCCGCCTGGCCTGGGGACTCTCACTGGACTGTGAAGGGGTGGGGCAGGGGGCCTGGGGGAAGGAGGCAGTGAGGTCAGCAGTGCTGGGGGGCCTGGAGCACCAGGGATAGTCCACTTGGTAAGAGAAGGATCCCTTAGGGTTGGGAGAGGGGACGTCACGCATTTTACTGAGATGATTCTGGCAGCTGTGAAATGAGAGGGAGTCACAGAACAGCAAAGAACATGCTAGATTATTGGTAGAGGCATAACCCATGTGGTCCAGAAACAACTGTGAAGAAAGGGACAGAAAGACAAGAAATAGTAAATATGATTGAGCGTCAGTAAACAGTGTTGTTAAACATTATTCAACTCTGGGACAGAAGGAGTCAAAGTGACGAGTGGTATCAGGGAGAATGAGCCGAGTGGGGCAGAGGGTCAGGTGTGTGGGTCTGGCGGTGGAAGCTAGTTCCGGCGCTCCAGGAACGAAGCCCGGAAAGGGATTTCACAAGCATGGGCTAGCGGCCAGCACAAGAAGCCCTGTTTAATGATGGAGTAAATGGAAGGAGCTGAGCAGACTCTCGCGGGTGAAAGTGAGTCAGCTTTCCTTGGTGTCAATAATTAACCACCAGTGTGGCAAGATCAAAAGCGGGCATTTGTGAGCTCCTGCGCTGAGCAGGAGGGTGCTGCCTCGCTACAAGCATTCCTGATTGTTTTCTGGTCAAAACAAAATCCATATCAACTGCCAGAGATGCCAGAAATTCTTATCTTCGTGGACTTGTCTTAACTGCAAGTCACAGAAACCTGCTCTTCCTATTTATAAGAACCTGGTTCAAACGGCCTTGAGCAAAACAGAAACTTCTTGATTCACGTGTCAAGTCCAGGCCAAGCGCTGGGCCAGGAGCACAGGGAAGTCCCAGGAAGTCTGCAGTGGCCTCAGCCCCGCTCTCCTCAGCTTCACTCTCGGGCAGGTTTACTCTGGACGCGATAAAATGGCAGCCCCTGCCGCAGCCCGTCTCCCTCAAGCCCCGCAACAGCAGCCACGCTGCTCCCCTCTCGGCAGGCACACCCGAGTCCCCAGCTGGTCACGTGGGTCCAGGGCAGGTCCCCAGCCCCTCACTGCAGCAGCGGCTGGGCCTGGTCACACCTGCCTTGACCTGGAGGGGCCTTCCCCTCTCTGCCCACAAGGACTGAGGTGGGAGAGGCTCGTCTCTGATACAGAAAGGGGCTGTGCGCTCTGGGCAGGACAAGCCACCGCCCACCAGTGCCCTTGCTGGTAGGCGTCGCCCGCCGGCCTCAGCTCTGCCGCCCTCCCTGGCCCGGCCCGGTGAGGCTGCGGCCCGTGTGGGCTGTCTGAGGCCTGCGCGCAGGAGGAACCACTGGGGCGGGGGGCTGCGGAGTGCCAGTTCTTCCCAGGGCTCCACCCGGCCCCAGGGCAGTGCCGGCCTTTCTCTGCCACTCCTGCACTCTGGCGTCTGGGACGCCGGGAAGTCAGGGCTCTTTTCTCCACGTCGCCATTTCTTAGAAAGAGCAGTACACACGCTGGCAGAACTTGACATTTCTTTCCTCACTGCATAATTTTTCAAAGAGGAAAGATCCCTGCTTTCTAGCAATAAAAGGAAAACACCACAGGGCGATGTTTGTGGACTGGCATAGCAAACTGAGGTCACAGGACCTTAAAACAGCCCCAGCCCGGCTTGTGGAAAGTCTCGCTTTGCATCCAGGGGACCCCGAGGGCCTGTGAGCCTGCTTGTGGGAGGAGGCCCCCAGCACGCAGGCCATCGTTCTCATCTGCCCTTCGGGAAAGAGCTGTGAGCAGGCCCAGCATGGGCAAGTGGCCCTGGGAGAAACGTGGTCTCACAGCCCTGTCTCTGCCGGGAGCCCCAGAAAACACTGCGCCTCCTGCTCCTGGGCGGAGGACGTACCCCCTGTGAGGGACACCCTTCCGTCTTCCTGGGGTTCGTTCTCCATGGCCTGGAGAGAAGGCCCTTCCCTCTTTGCGCTAAAGATGGGCCCTGACTGGGTCAGGGACGAGGTGGAGAGGCCCCACCCGGAGGAGCTGGGTCAGTCAGACGGCCCCGCCGCCTCTCAGGGCTGGGTCCAGGCCAGGGTCCAGGCCGGGATGTGCCCTCTGTTTGCTAAGGTGAGAGAAGAGAACCCGGCAGGCGGGGACCAAGCGGGACTGGGGCGACGTGGGGTTTCCTCAGCCCTCGCCGCTACCGGCTTTAGGCAGCTCCGGGGCGACGCCTCCACTGCCTTCCGGAGCCAGCAGCCCGCCCGGACTTGCGGTGGCAGCCGGGTCTGGGGCGGCCTGGGGAGGGAGAGGCCTAGAAAGCCTGGTCTTTCTGGGGGTGAGGGGGAGCTGCCTCACTGGCGACTCAGGCCGCCGACAGAGACTCGGGGCGCAGGGGTTTCCAGGCCTTTACTGGCCTCTCAGGGAAACAGACACACGGACGTTTCCCTGAGAAAACAGGCGGGAACGCTGGCCTGCAAGGAGGCAGGCACAGGCCGCAGGCGCCGGCGGGCGGGCACCGCGCCTCCCCGCCCGGGCAATCTTACCTCTCGTCCCTCTGTCGGGTCGCGGCCTCCCCTCAGCGCAGCGCTGCCGCGCGCCGCCTTCCTGCCGCCCTCAGCACAGGTGTGAGCGCGCACGCGGCACACGCACCCCGCGCTCTCGGGCCCAGGTCGACGGTGCACCTGGCCCTGGGCGGGCAGCCACGCGAGCCGCGGGAGGCCCGGGAAGACCTGGTGCCTCACCCACCGTGAGGGGCGACCCTGTGCAGGCTGCACGCCGTGTGTGTGCGCTGAGTCACGTCGGTGAGCACAGGACGCTAGCGGGCTGCCCCAGAGGGGGTTGCCCACAGACAGCCGCTCGGCCCCCCAAGCCCCCGCTGCCGGGGCTCGCCCCCTGCTCCACTCCAGCCCAGGCCTGCCGGGCGCGGCCGGCGTCCTGCGCACGGGGCGTCCAGGCCGGACACTGGGGGCTAGCTGGCCTCCTTCCGAGCTCTGACTCACTCTGGTGGTGTCTTCTGACTTCTTGGTTTTCAGTGGTGGCTGGGAGTTGCGGTGGCGGCGTGGGGTGTGCTGCTGCACGCATCACCGAGACGATTTCTGCAGAGAGAAAGTGATGGTCATTGAGAGAAAGTGATGGTCATCGCCGAGCCATGGCGCTGACAGGAAGCTGAGCCAGGGGAGCGCCTCCCTAAGCCACAGTTGCCAAGGCCCGGGTTTCTGAGTCTAGCCCTAGCCTGGTGGCCAGAAAGCCACTCTGGACCCCTTAAGCACTTCACAGGGAAGAAGGACAAAATCCTCCTGCCCTTTATAAATTGCAAGAGCAAGAGATTCCTAAGTGGGAGATTTCTAGGCAGTGATGTTTATGAGTTCCCACTGAAAGAGCAGCCTGGAGGTGGGGTACACACTAAGTAGACCCTGGGGGTTCAATCCTGGCTTTGTCCCCGTGGGCTTGCAGTCCTAGGAACATGACTTGATTTCTCAGAGTCGCGGCTGTGAGACCTGAAGGCTGAGTCCACGCGCTTGGAGGTGACTGGCTCTTGGGCACCCTTGGCACTGCAGTGGAGTGAAACCCCAGCACACAGTGGCCAGAGCTCTGTCAGGAGAGCTCTGAGGAAGGAGTCGGCGGCGTCAGGCCTGCTGACTCAGGAGGACCGAAGGAGAGGAAGGAGCCATGGACCGCCAAGAGCCCACCAAAGGCTGTCCACGGCACCGAGGCTTCTTGGTGGCTGGTGCCGGGGCCTCGCCAGGCTCAGCCGAGCCTGGCAGCCAGGCGCCAGGGCGGGGCAGCCATTTCTGGGTGTTGAATGAACCCCTTAGTGACTCGTGCTAAGCGCTTAGGACAGCCTTAGCAGCTGACCGCCCCATTATTTGCAGAGAACCAAGTCCTTGCCGCCCATAAACGAAGCCCCATCCAATGTTATGTATCATATGCATCTGGGGCAAATGGGCATTGCAAGGCCCAGTTATTAAGGATAAAAATGCAATTTCACCGGTGTTTTTCTTTTTAAAATCAGGGGAACTAGGACTCAGAAAGCATGGGGATTTGAGAAATAGGTTACACTGTGGTGGGCTCCGGACTCGACAGAAACCGTCGTGAGCTAAAATGTGAATGTCCACTTATTCCTTCAACAGCTACTTGTTGAGGGCCAGGTCAGAGAAAGGATAAGGTGACCTTGGGACCTCTGGTGGCTTCGCCGTTTGCAGGTGACCACATCAGATCTGGACCTGGGTCCAGCAGGTGGTGGACTTCTGCCGCCACCCGCTCCAGCTGCCGGAGCCCACGTGGCCTTGGGTTCAGTCTCCGGGCTCCCCCTCAGCACCACAGGAGTGTGCTGGGGCGAGGCCTCGGGAATCGGAACGGGGGACAGTTTGGGGGGTTGGCGAGTTCTGGGGCTCTCAGAGCCTAAGAATGGAATACCATAGCAAACAGGCTTTCTTGGGGCAAATGTGGTTTCCTAAGGCAAGGACTGTTGCCCGAGGGACGCAGCGAGCCGGTCGCCCTGGGGAGCAGCTCTGTGCTCCCCCTGAGTGTCGGGTTACCCCCTGCCTCCTTAAGACCCCCAGGGGCCCTCCCTGGGGTGTGCTGCACGCCCTCTCTGCCCAGCCTGGGGCCTTGGCTGCCACAGTGACCTGGATGTCTGTTGCTGTGTTCCCCAGCTTATACCCCAACCAAGCTGGGGGTGGCAGCCAGCCAGCCAGAAGTTCAGGGTGGAGTTGCAACCCTGTGCGCTCACCCACCAGCGGACGGAGAGCTGCCTGAGCTGGGCATATCTGGGTAGGACGAATAAAGTCTTTTGGGGGAATTAACATTGCCAGAGGGAGACAAATGAGCACCCGCAAAGGAAAAGAAGGGCCTTGAGTTCCCACGTGTCCAGAGGGCGGGGTGGGAGGGGCCCAGGCCGCCCTCCAGGCCACATTCAGCGTGGGACAGCACTAGAAGTGGGGAGACTGTGAGCTTCCTAGGCAGGAAGCTGCGCAGTGGCCTGTGTCCCGGGGTTGCCCGGTGAGAGTGTGGGTGAGACTGGGGCTCCCAGGCTGTGGGTCCTGCCTCTCAGACCCCGATTTGTGAAACGGAAATGTAACTTAACCCGCTTACCTAAAGGGGTTGCTTCGAAGAACCATGGAGATGATGGAAATGAAAGGACTTTGAAAACTAAATTTTTTTGACAGTAAGGTGTGTAGATAGTGGAGCTAGCAATAGGATTATTTGTAATATCGTTTCTTATGAACACATCCATTCCCCTATGAAATTGTTCTTTAAAAAGAAAAAGGAGGAAGCGGCAGCGCCAGCCCCGGAGATGAAGAAACGCCTGCCCCTGGAGGAACCCCTGTGCTTCCCCGGCCTGAGAACTGCCTGGGCGGGCAGGAAGCGCAGGTCAGGGAACAGGCAGATCTGCCCACAGACCGCCCTGCCCACCCGCAGGAGCCCCAGGCACCCTCTGGCCAGCAGGGTTTCCCCGCAGCGCAGCTGCCAGCTCCCCACCCTGCTGGCGAGTGGGAGTGGTTTCCAGGTGACTCACATGAATAACACACAGAAATAAAGAGACCCGTTGCATTATTCTAAGCCCGTCAAGTGCAGGCACACACTGTGCTCCGATTTATCTCAGGATCAGAAAGGAAGTAAGAAAAGGCTTGGTTTTACTTCTCTCAGAACAAGAACATGGCTGTCCTTTCCTTTCTCTACGAGAACAACTGTTCCTGTAGAGGTAAAGGAAGTCCCCCTCCACCCTGCACCCCAGACTGAGGCTGCTGGTCCGGCTGGAAAGCAGGACAGGAGGGGTGGGAGCTGGCCTCGGAGGTAGGTGAGCTATCATCTTGGCCAAATCACTTAACCATTGGGAGCCCAGTTCCTCTGAATAAAAAAGTGGCGCTAACAGCGGCACCTGCCGCGTGAAGATTGTATCAGTAAAGCTCTGCTGGTGCTGGGGGGAAATAAGCCCTAAGTAAAGGCGCGTGTCACCATCCGAGCAGCGCTGTCTCCTGTCTGCCGGCTGCGCTCAGGGCTGCCCTCTAACCTCTGCAATTCCCACGAAGCCGCAGTGCCTTTCACTCTCCCCCCGCCCCTTCCTCAACCCGAAGTTCTCCTCTTTGACCGCTCCTGCTTCCTCGCCTGGGCCTGGACGGGTCACCAGTCTCCTTTCCCTCCCAGACACTGCTCGCGACCTCACAGGGTGGAGATATTCGTTCTAGAAAGGTCTGACACCTAACCTTCGCTAGACTCAGTTTCATTCATTTCAAGCAAATGCTAGTAGTGTCCACTCTACAGGTGTGTGGATCTGAGGTGAAATGCGGGGCGTGGAGGAGGTACGTGGGGGTGACTAAGAGCAGGAGACGTGGGACTCGGTCAGGTGTGGCTTCTGTCCTTAGTGGCTGTCCACCTTAAACAGGCACCTGCACCCCTGGGAGTTCCAGCTGGTTCTGTTCATGGGGTAACAGCCATTCCCACCCCTCAAGATGCCTGTGCAAGTCAGGGCGGCTGCTGTGTACGACAGAGGGCTTGGCCAGTGCCCAGCAGTGGGGGTCTGGGCAGCAGTGGAGGCTGTGTGGCTCCACCCAGTGCTCAGGAGAAGGGCACCCCAGTGGTCAGCGTCTCCTCTGACCTCTTCCCGCAGGACTCTACGTGCTGGTGGGAGCAGGGGCCCTGATGATGGCCGTGGGGTTCTTCGGGTGCTGCGGAGCCATGCGGGAGTCACAGTGTGTGCTCGGATCTGTAAGTGGGGAGCTGCGGGGAGGGTGGGGGCATGGGTCTGAAGGGAGCCCCAGGTCTGGCTTCCAGGACCCCTTGTCAGGCCCACTGAGGCCTGAGCACTCACGGTCTCTGAGTGTGGGTTTCTCCCCCTCTTTTGCATGAGAATAATGCCCTTTGCCCCTGCCTCCTACAGAAGTGAAGCCAATGAGGTGGGTCTGTAGTATGAAGGTGTCTGGGGGGCAGGTGCCTGTCAGTTGTAAGAGGCAATTAACATTGTTCTCTCAAAGAATATTTCACAGTGGGTAGAGGGCTGAGATTCCCCTAGCCAGGGAAGCACTGATATCTACAAGAAAGGCATTGTGGTGTGAGATAACAATTTACCAAACCTCCCTCTCCTGGCTTATTTTAACAAGCGGCCTGTTTTTTTAAAGACTGAAATTATTTCAGTGAACTGCTATACAACTGCTTCCAGAGTGAATGCAGAGAGGGAAGGAGAAGGGAGAGAGCGAGAAGAGAGGATGCTTTTGTCTCTCCATGAGGAGTGAGAAGGCGGCTTCACAAGCACCCCGTGCCATCTTGGCCCTCTTTAGCGGGGCCTGCCCCTCTTTCTCGACCCTCCATTTCTACCTCTCTCCTGTACCCTCCATCCTCTATTGCTGAGCATCTCTTCCTCTTGTCACTAAACTCAGTTTGACAGGAGAGGCCTGTCAAACTGAGAGAAATCTGAGCTGAAGGATGCCCCACCTCCTCCCGACCCTCAGCAGAGACTTTCTGGACCATGCAGCCTCAGCCACGCCTTCCCCAAGTCAGGGCCTGTTGTGTTCATCTCCTGGCCTTATTTTATGTCTCTTTAAAGCCTTTTTTGTTCAAGTGTTTACATGCACATAGGCGCAAGGCACTGTTCTAGCTGGTGGAGGCTCGATACCATGCTCTGAAACTCTTTCTCAGCTGTTTTTACTGGTTTTAGTCATGTATCACGTCTTCCCTTTCTGAAGTCCGTGATATCAGGGGTGCTGGGACCTTGCAACTCAGCACCAAGGACAGTACCTGGCGCATGTGAATGCTCAGTCAACAAGGGCTGAATGAATTAATGAGCGAGTGAGTGAGTGAGTGAGTGAATGAATGAACAAACTACAAAGGGCAAATGCTTCCTGCTACATCAATTGAAACTAATAACGTGCCTGATGTTTTTCGAAGGGAACTAGAATCAGAGACTAGATAAATTTGAAAGGTATTGAATGAATAAGTTACTATTTTTTCTCCTCCACAGTTTTTCACTTGCCTACTGGTGATATTTGCAGCTGAAGTAACTACTGGAGTATTTGCTTTTATAGGCAAGGGTGTAGTAAGTAAAAATTACAATATTTTATGATGATTCAAGTGTTCTCAGTAGGGCAAAGGATATTATTGATGTTGGAGAGCCAGATAACCCCACAAGTATCAGCTTGCAGAACTTTTTTTTTTATGCATTCAGAACTGGGGTACAGGTCAGAGGTGCAGGGGCGGTGAGAGGATTCACCAGAGACAGAGCGGGGAGCAGAACAGGCTGAATGACGAAGTACACTACTGAGTACTGAGGGGAGCAGCGGGCGGGTCAGGAGAGGTCTGCCGCGCCATGTGGGTCAGCTCCAGGGCAGGGATCAAACTCATGCTGCAGTGGCTTTAGCTTCTTAGTGCTGCACCACCAGGAAGGGCCCTGTGCAGAACTTTTTAACCCAGACATATTGCACAAATTGAACACACCAGTGAATGTGTATCCACACACATGTGAGTATATTTTTTGGGGGACATAGATCACGGCTTTCATTTCTGTCGTAAAGGCAGATCAGTAGCTCTAAAAAGGTCTCTAGGATTATGCCACTGGAGACGAGGTGGGGCTTAGATTGCAGAATTCGCCAGGGTTGGGGAGCATACACTGTCACCCATCCTTGGCTTGGCCTGTGCACCTGCACAGCAGCTGATGTGGGTGTATGCCCCACCTGCGGGTGTCCGCAGAGGTCATGAGAACACACAGAGGAAGGGGCCTTTCTAGCAGGTTCAGACACTGCGGGAAAGATGGGTGGAAAGGAAAAGGAGGAAGAATGGAATCTAAGTTTCCTGTCCTTCACATAAATTCATATGCCATTGACACTGGGTTTAGGAGCTTATTTTAAATTTTAAAAATGGGAGACATGTAGAGTAATTAAATCTTACCTTGTTTGGAATTTTTCTAAAGTAACTGGCTATATCTATAGGTTAGAAGAATTGAATCTTAAGACCTTTGGAGAGCTCTGTGGATTTGGATTAGTCTTGATACTAGAAAAAGCAATCTCTTTTTGAAATATTTGAAAGCAGAAACTATTGTCCTTGCTGATGGACACCTTTTAAGCCATGTCACGAGAAGACTTGCGTTTCTTCAATCACAGAGCATCAAGAATGCCGAGGTCAGGCCCTCCCTGATGGCACAGCGGGTTAGGACCCAGCACTGCAAGCTCGCTGCAGCCACTTCAATATGAGTTCGATCCCAGCCCTGGAGGTGACCCACATGGCACAGCAGACCTCTCCTGACCCGCCCGCTGCTCCCCTCAATAGTGTGCTTCATTGATCTGCCTATTGTGCTCCTCACTCTGTCTTTGGTGAAGCCTCTCACTGCCTCTGCACCTCTCTGGCTGGATGAATAAATAATCTTAAAAAAAAAAAACGACTGCAGAGGCCCCTACCCTGGCTCTGTGGTGGAGGAGGGGCCAGGAATCTGAGTTCCTGTGGGTGCGGACATCCATTCAGATTTGAGAGCCTCCATGCTAAGGAATCTTTCTAGTCCATAGAAACTAATCTCAAATCTCCTTTCATCACTCAAAGCATCTTAGAAGCTCCAGAATCTATGCTCTATTCCATGTGTGCAGAATTATCTTAAAATACAGATAAACATCTGGAAAGGCTCTATTTTTGTAAGGGAACAAAAGAGGGGATCATCCTTGATGAAAAAAGAACATTGGAACTTCCACCCACTGTCCTCTCAGTTTTCCTGGTGTTTTTCAGGCTATCCGACATGTTCAGACCATGTACGAAGAGGCTTATAATGATTACCTTAAAGACAGGGGGAAGGGGAATGGGACGCTCATTACCTTCCACTCAACAGTAAGTACCTTTACGGCTTTCTTAAAATTCCTTCTAAAGATCTGCACGGGTCAGGTTCTCTGTCACCTGGAGCAAAAATAAAAATAAAGTCAGTAAAATAAAAATAAAGTCAGTGAGGCCAAGCAGCAGGACAGCCAGAGTTTACTTACATGTGGGGTCTGGAAGAGAAAGGGGCTGACCCAAAGAGGTCACGAGAGGAGTCCAGGACGGAGCCGGAAAAGGCCAAAAAGCACTACCAGAACCCAGAGAAAGCCACTGGGCACACGTGGGCTCTCAGTGGTGGCTCAGAGTGTCACAGAAACCCTCCTCCCAGCCAGAGAAGCTCCTCTGCAGCCGCTCTGACGCTGGGCACTTGTGACCTTGAGCGCTTTTCCGCCTCTCTGAGGAGAAAAGGTGCTGTGAGCAGCCACACACCCGCTACTGTGGGGATACGGGCCACACCCCATAGTCACCACAGTATACGAGGCTGGGGATCTGATGGGCCAGGCAAAGCCCTCCTGCTTCCTTAACCACTGTGACATGGAGTTAGCCAGGTAGCCAGGCCTACCTGTCACAGGGAGGCCCTGCAGGTGCCAAGCTCTCCTGCTCCTCTCGGCTGCCCCAAGGACACCAGGCAACACAAAGGGCCTTTGTCTGCGACTTGCAGACTGCCTTTCTCCAACCTGTGGCCTTCAGCTCCTGGGGTTTATTGTAGCCACTTCTCGCTATCCCGGACTGTCCCTGGTTAATAATCAGCCAGTCCTGAAGCTCATAAAAACTTCAGCTGCTCAGCAGGTTAAATGACTCCTGATCTGCGAGAAAGACTGCAAAGGCCCAGCCCTGTCTGAGAAGCAGCACTTACACAGACACAGTCCGTTAGCTTCGCGCCTAGTTTGGGTTGCCTTGAGTCACTCCCATCACACAACTCAGACAGCCTTCGAGAGGTCGTTTCTTGTTTTGCTGGCACAGTTATGTGCTCCTTTGCCCTCTCTCCAGACATGGCTTGTGTCGTGGTGACTGGGCCTCGTAACTTCCGCCTCTGCACCCCAGCCCTGACCCCCACACCCAGACTTGTAGCCGCTGCCTTTCAGCCCGTGTCCTGAGAGCTCTGTTCTGACTTTCCAGTTTCAGTGCTGTGGGAAGGAGAGCTCTGACCGGGTCCAGCCCACTTGCCCACAGGAGCTGCCAGGACACAAGGTAAGCCTCTCCAGGGCCCTGCTTCCACATGCAAGCTGTCCATGCCATTGTTGAGCTGTGACATTGGCCATGTTTTTTCTTCATGACAGTTATACGGTGTTAGCAAAAATGATGTCACATGAGTGTTCCCAGAGAAATTGGTACGAATGTTTAGAGGGTAGTGTGACTACGTTCATGTGTGTGGTTGCGCACATGTCTCCTCTCAAATTTATTTGAGGGAGAAGGAATCCGAGCTGTGGCCAGAGATGATGTGCAGTGTTGTTCACGGCAGTGCTACAGGGACAGGAACAGTGGCTAGGTCATCTCTATGTAACCGGTGGGGCTGTCTCAATAATTGTGCAGATACATAGGGAAAAATGTTCACAATTCACAATTTCAAAGAATTTTTAGAAAAGAAAAATCTTTTCGAGGTTTTAACATCCAGTTACAAAAGCGCACGATTATATATAAAGTAAGGAGGAGTGTGAGTGTTTGTGTGTAAAAATGTACCTGCCGTGTTGTGATTCTCTTCAGTGGTGGAAATACAAATGTTTCTTATGTTTTTTTTAGCATCTTTTTTTCCAAATTTCAATACTAAGTGCACATTCCTTTTGTCACTTAGTACAGCCAAGACAGGTTTGGGTGGTTTCTCACAAAGTAAATGACTTGAAAGAAAGGACTTGGGTCGACCTAGAGGAGGGCTGTCTGCTCAGGGGCCTTTGTTGCTTGGGATGAAAGGGCGCGAGGGCAGTGTTACCTGAGGCTAGGGATGTCACTAGACATGGAAGACTGGCTGCTGGTCAGGGCCCCTGACAGCACGGGGGTCCTGAGGGGATGAAGGGGAGGGCACCCCAGACCGGAAGAGGCTCAGTTTCAACAGAGAGTGGCTGTGCTGCCTGCCTCCTCCCACTAAGCTCAGGGCCCCCCACAGTGCTCGGCACAGAATGATTGGAGCGTGAGGTTTCTGGAGGTGAGGAAGGCTGGAAGAAGTTCTTAGGCTTACCCCCACTTCTCAAAGGGAACCGCCATCTAGAACAGTGGTTATCAAACTTACCAGAATGCTTTGTGATTACTTTTTTGTGCGGATCTCTGTCCTTCTCTGAATTGTGAGTTCCCTGAAGGCAGATGAATCTTGTCTTTTTATCAGCCATATCCACCATGCTATTTCAGTGACTGAAGCAAGGTAAACTTGCCCAAAATGTTTGTTGAATGAATGAGTGATGAATGAAAGTGAGCAGTAAAGCTTTCATATAGTTTATGAGGGGATCAAAGGGAACTGGCCAGTGTCTAGTAAAGGACAGACTCAGCTGGCAGCACACCTCTGTGCTGAACAGAAACAACACATGAACACAAGCCATACACTCTGCTCCTTGTCCAGCTCACCCACACCCCCTTGCAGCTGCTTTGGGCCCCCCTTGCACAGGTCACAGTGAGGCACAGATGAAAGGACTGTGACCCCCATTCCGATCATGAGGCAGAGATTTGCCCTCTCCCTCCCAAAACTTGGGTTCCTTTGTTTAACTTAAACTTTTAAGTGTCTTCCTAGGTAATGTCCACCTTGTAGAATAAAGTGGACCAAGTCTATAGAACGTCTTTTAAAGTATAAATTATGCAAGGGGCTATTAACTTAGGGATATTTTACTTGTTTTCAAATTTTCAACAAAAAAGAGACTCCAAATTTTTAAATGCCACAGGTCCTAGAAGAGTTTCCTTCAGTCAAGTTTCAGGTCTCTGAAGCAACCATTGCCCTAACTGAGAATATTCCACGCAGAAGGAAAGGATTGTTTTTTCTCCAAAACTACATTTTTGCTTTAAAATTGTCAGGATGATGCTATCCTGAGAGGAATGGTTTAAATATGGGCAGAAGCTGGCATGGATTAACATGCACAGAATGATGTGTAGGAAAGGAAGAATTGGACAGCGTGATGATTCACACATACTGACAGTTGTTATTCCTACTCTTTTTTTTTTTCTGAAACAGAATTGCATTGATGAAATTGAGACCATTATCAGTGTAAAGCTCCAACTCATTGGAATTGTTGGTATTGGAATTGCCGGTCTCACGGTGAGAAAGTTCTAGAGTTTACCTTTTCTACCCCCGAAGAACCTTTGAACCTTTGCATCTTATTTCACTTCAAGTGTGATTTGGCAACATCTTAGGAAAGGCAGAATTTCCCATAAAAGACCAAGACCTTTGTAGACAGACGTTTCCTAAGAACAAAGCTAATTAGATACATCATACTTAGTTCTCTAAATTGATGCAGATTTCAACTTCAACCCAACTATATCCTTGAGTTCATTATTGAAATGGCAAGCCTTTTAAAGCAATCAAGCTTACTCTAGCAGGCAGTTTCTATCCGTGCTCCTCATCACAGGTTGCCCTCCTCTCACCTGTGATTTGAGAAGGCAGCACAGTGTAAAGATTAACAGTAGGAGACCAGCCTCCCCCTGTCTCCATCCAACTCTCTGAGGAGAGCTTCTCACCATCTCTGTGCCTCAGTCCCCTCATCTGTGAAGTGGGGACTTTTGTGTTCCAACCTCAAAAAACTGTTACGAAGATTAAGTGAGATGATACATATGAAGTATTATTAGGAAATAATCCACAGAAGGTGTCTGGGTCCTAACACTCAGTAAATGCTAGCTCTGCACAGTCAGGGTACCCCGCATCCAGAATCTAAGCGAAGAGAAGAGGCTGCGGTGGCAGCAGTGCATCCAGGTGGCCCGTGCTCTAACGTCTGAAAGATGAGCAGTGTGCAGCACTGGCCGGAGCGCCACGGTGTGGTAGGAGGAGCAAGTGCTGACGCTGGAAGGTGCGAGGGTTCACATCACGGAGGTCTCTGTGTGCCCTTTCGAGACGGTGGGCACTTCAAAGCAGAGGGGAGCCGGGAGGAGTAGAAGGACCCCCCTGCAGGGTCAGAGAGGCCAGTGAGACGTGCTTTCCATTGGCCACAGGCTGAGTGGTGATAACTTGCTCTCTAACCCTCTCTATAAAGTATGGGACGAGGAGGGTTTTGAGGTAATCTAGGAATTGGTAGTTTTCTTCTTTTCTGTGTTTAGGGCACAGGGGTGGGGCTGTGGGTGAAAGTACTATGCTGGGACTCCCCTTTGCAGGAACATCCCCAGGCCCTCCCCACTCCCCAGGACAGGTGGAAGATTTCCTAAAGTTCTGCATAATGGAGATGCCGAACAGACCCTCCTAACAATTCTGGTCTCAATGGGTGAACAGTCTAGAGGTCATGACCCCTGACTGCAGGATGAGCTGAAAGTTTCTTGGGGTGAGGAGGAGAGGCGGGAGGGGAGGGTTTCAGAGTGCCCAACCGGGTAGAAGTAGGGTTGCATGCCACCTGCCAAACCGTGAGGACCAGTGGCCCTCCCCATCAATCAGCACCCCAGGAGTTCTTTTTAAAAGCTTTTCTTCACAAGGTCAGCATTGCAATGCTAACCAGATGCCAGCTCGTGTCTCCCAGCCACACAGTGCGTGCTGGAGCCCAGAGCTTAGAGCCCTGCTTCTGCCATTCCTTCACTTCAGTCTCCCCCTTCCCTTCCAAAACAGCACATAATTCATGCTGTTTGCATTTAGTATTTATAGATCCTGGTCTGTTTGGAATGGGGCTGGGGGGAGAACTTCTGCAAGCAAACCCTGAGATGCTGCACCCCAGATAGCATTCCACAGTGTCTGTGAAACTGCCAGAGGAAAACTGAGAACAAGAGGGTCTCTTGGCGTCCTTCTAGTCAGCCATAAAAGTAGCTGCTGATTTTACCAAGTATTTGAATTCTCAAAGAAGCACCAAAGAGGAGAAGACATCGATAGCACCCTAGAGAAAACACTGGTAAACCATCGAGTTAAATAGTGAAGCATCATTTTCACTTAAAAATAGATCAGGGATGAAGCGAGGTCCCACATTTAGTATGTGATCCCACTTTTTTGTGTGATCACACAAAATTTATGGCTTTTCTACAGATGGAAAACTATGTAAACCTCAAGCATATTTAGACCACAGTGATTTTGAACACTTTTTTTTTCAGAATAAATATACAAAAGATCTGAGATTAACCTGAAGCATAAAATTCCAAAGCCAGTGGTGATCAGTCTTTTATAATTATTAAGAATTATTCTGCTATTTTATATACTAGAAAAAGAACCCTTTTCTTATGCAGGTTCTTGTTATTTTTTTAACAATAATAAAATAGAAATGTATTTTAAGCAGTTTATACAGAAGCTTTTAATGAGTAGCCATAGTTAAATAGCATGTATAACCAGCAATTGCTTATAATTAGTTACTAACTTTAATCAGACGCCCAGGCAGCTCACTAACCTTGTTATCAGTTTTTACCACGTGAAAGTCATTGATGAGTGGTTCCTTCCATTTCAGATCTTTGGCATGATATTCAGTATGGTCCTTTGCTGCGCTATACGAAACTCACGAGATGTAATATAAAGCAACTTCTACAAGGAAACTGCAGTCTTGAACTCTCATACAAATGCCCCAGGAGCTTTCTCCTGGCTTGTTTTGGATAGTCAAAGGACAGCACGCTCTAGAATGCTTTGCTGTTAACTGTACATTTGCACATGTATGTTTGCCTTGTTTCTAGTTCCCCTTGGAGTGACTGCCTGTGCGTGGTGACTGGGAGCATATTCATGTGTGAGCTGAGTGTTTCCAGGACATGCATTAGACATAGAGACCTGTTCACAGGGAATTCCTGGTTCTTCTATTTAACCCTCAGAAAAAGATAAAAGAAAAAAACAAAACTTTGATAGACTTTAAAAACTTGGTTATTCTGAAAAAATGATAGTGGGTTAGTTTCTTGAACTCTAGTCATAGAAGAAAACATAAAACTAGGGATGTTTAGGAAACAGGAGCAATAAGCTACAGGAATTGAGAAATCATGGTGCAGTGTTAAAACTGTCTGTCTGTGTTGCGTTCAAGGGTTTCCTGAGATCTTTTTTTATATACATACTCTCCTTAGAATACAGTAAACTAGTTTTAGAACTAAACACATCTGTAGAACTAAATGTAGCATGGAAAATCTAATTTGAATAAATCTTACTTTCCTGTACTTAAAAACGAAAAACCTCCCTCTGGAAAGAGTGGTCACACAGACAATCATGTACCCTATCAAAGTGAGAGCTTTTAGGACTAAAAAAAAAATCTTTTAACGACTTTGTAAAGAAGTATTTTTGTTCATATAGAAAGACATTTAAATATTTATTACTTTCCTTATCTGACTGCTGTGAACTACTGCAATCCTTAACATCCTCCAAAGGGCTTTTATCTCCACCTTTCTGTTTCTCCGACTATATGGATAGAAAGACTAAGCAAGAGATCTGCCAGTGACAAATTGTGGGGAAAGAGAATTTTTACTGGCACTTTATCTTTGAAATACCTCATAATTTGAGTTTTAAAATGATCCTAGTTTTTTGCTATTTATTCACATAGAGAATCTTCCTCATAGATTAGGAACTATATTTTTTACCTTTAAAATGAGTAAAGCAAAATCCTTCATAATTCAAATATTTTCTCACGAGCTTCCTTGGCTAACCCAAAATAGAGAAAAGCATCTTCTGGTTGTGTGCGCACTACAAAGACAAGCTAAGAAAATAAAAATACACACTCCCACAGTAGAAATGTGTTCTTTCTGTGCACGTTCCCTATAAAAATAAAATTCTCATGCTCTTTATAGTCTTGATGTTTCAATGCAGTATGAAATCTCAATTTAGGTTCTAGAATGACTTATTTGTCTAATTTTTAATAATCTTGTAGTACATCTAGTAAAGTATTTTCTTTTATTAAAAGACCACACAAAAGTGAAAGTATGTGGGGCTTTAGAAACCCCAATGTGAATTTGCACAACTACAAGAACACAGGTCTTTGGGTGTGTGCTAAACTAAGTTTGCATTCTGATCAAACATTTTTCTGAAAAGACAACCATTTGTGGTAGTCTCACTCCCCAAGAAACCACATTTCTCTCTCTATTGTACTGCTACTGCTACTAACTTTGGAGGACGATTTTCTAGAAGAAAAGTCAGATGAGAAGCAGGCTAAAATTTATTTGTATGGATAGATCACTGTCTATAGCTAAAGATTATTTTAAGAAAGTCTCTCTATGAAATAGATGTTATACCCCAGTAACTAAGAAATAGAATCTTTTAAGCAGAGAACAGATAAACCATGTCTCTCGGGGCTTTAGTTCTTCTGTCTACCCAGAAAAAGGACACAGGCCCAAGTATGTACTCAGGTTCCTTCTAGCACTGAATCGTATCTGATTCAACAAAAGTGGATTTCATTCTGTATCTGAATGAACAACCTTAAAGAAGACTACACTAGCTAAAAGTGGAAGAGTAGAGACCTGTTCTATTATGATTTATATGCTCTTTTAGGGAGTAATTCCTTCAAAATACGTGCCATGAGTAAAATTAGAGGATTCTACCTCTGAACAAGGGTAGCTTTATGTATAGCTTGACTCTATATATATCTTGAATTCCTATTTATCTTGATTCTATAATCTTGAATATATACACATATATGACTTGAATATATGTATACGTGTGTGTGTGTACACACTCAACCATGCTTATGAAAAAACTTTCGGTTTTGTCTGTTTTCCTGAACTAATTTGAAATCAGACCCAAACCTTTCCTTAAGTATCTCGTGCCAAGGCACTGAAGCAAGGCTTTTTAATGAAGAAATATTTTAAGTTATTTCAAATTAAATTTTCTGTGTACTAGAATTGTTTGTTTGGTTTCTCTTAAAATCGTGTGTATCTTTATATGCACTTCACACAGCTGATCTAAATGTCTAATTTAGCAATCAACTCAAACAATGTGGTGAAAAAAAGTGGTAACCCTTCCACAGGGTTTCAACTGGAAACTGAAATGTAAAAGCAGCACCCCAAAGACTTTCACTGCATATAGCTACACTTCAGCCACCATTCTTCCCTCGCATCATACCTGTGCTCCCCTGAAGAGCCCCCGTTGCTTCTGTAAAGCTGCACGCCACCCATTCCAGTGAGTCCTCCACGCAGGCAGCAATGATGGTGTCTCTCCCCTGTGAGCAAAGTTAAACGGTTTGGCTCAGAAAGAATGAGGCTCACAGAACTTCCCTCAACAGCAGTAAAGGAAAGAATCTACTTTCCTTTATCGAGTAAGCCTATCAAAAATTAAAAGAAGAGACGCCGCCATGTCATGGTTAAAACATGAGTTCCATGACCACAATACTAGCCATTGGGAATTCAGGAGGCATACCCCAACTTTCCTAGTTCACTGCCTTGATAGACCCCTTTTGACTGCTGGTTTCTAAATTTCAGCAATGTCATTTCCCTACCCCTGGGAACACTCTTGGGCCCTTGACACTAGTCAATTAACTATGTCATCTTAGTGGGTACTCATCAAAGTCAAATTTTTGTTTAAAGATTTTGAGACAAAAGTTTCTACTCTCCTTCAACATTCTTTACTATTTTTTTCCATAAAGCATACCTGTAAGGTCTTATGTGTAGGTATCCTTTGAAAGGTGAAAAAGGCTACTACAAAGCAAAATGTTGTTTATCATTGTTGACTTCCTCACTATGACAGATAGGCTAAACACATTCCAGGAATTCACTATTCTGGAATCCATTACCTCCTGAGAACAAGGGAAGCATGAAAGATAGAAGAATATATCCTGAATACCACAAAACAAAAATCTATACTGATTTTATAAACTTTTTAATATGCCAGAAACCCTTCCAAAGCTTAGGTATTTGATTTTTTCCCTCTGTATTATCTGTGATGCTTTTACTTATATTAAGTAGAATAAATTGAAATTAAGTAACCAACAAAGTGTTTAACACACCTAGCAACTAATGAATATGCGCAATTGTTATAATGAGTTGATAAGGAGTTTTGTGAATTATAAATCAAACATTATAAATCAAGCATAACTAAGGAGACTTCCACATGATCCCAAGTACCTACTGGAGCACATTCACTTGTCAATGAGAATTTTCCATATATTTCCAGTTCTGTTTTAGTTCACGGACTTGCTATCAGTCGCCACAGCCAAGTGCCTATACTTTCCTCCCGACAAACACTCCAAATAAGAACTGTAGCTTCACTTTGTTTGGGCCTTTATTTTGTACACTTGTTAAAATCTTTTTAAGAATACTGATATGTTAAGATGATAAAAGACAGGTCTCTTCCCCCAAGGAACTTTAAACTAATTTCAGTGATTATCGTTAAGCCAGAGTGGACCCAGTCCATGTGGGGGAGGAGGGGAACGGCCACAGGAGAATTTTAAGTTCTCTAAACTGAGTCTTGAAGAACCTATACAAATTATCCAAACAAAAGTAATGGTAAAGAAGAGAGAGAGAGGTTGTTTCGCAAGTGATACCACTCAATACATGCAAGAAGACTCGAAAAAGAAAGCATGAAAACATATAAAGAGGTGTTGAGAATCCAAGAGATAAAGGACCTAGTAACTATACTAAGGCATCTTATCTCTGTTCAGAGAGCTTTGAGCAAATTTTAAGAAAATTACAAATTATAATTTGAACTTTTCAAAGAACGCTTAGTTTCAGTATGAACAATGATTGGAGGGCAAAGGTTAGAGTGACAAGTTCTTAAAACCAATACACTAGAAATCCTTTTTTTAGCACTGAGTCTCAAGTTTCCTCTGCCAAGGGCTGTCTCCTTTAAACTTCGGGTTGAATGTTAACACTACTTTAAATTCCATCTTTCTCTTATTACAGAAGCAATAATTCTTCACCTCCCCATTTTAAGCTCTCTATTCAGCCTTTCTCTTAAAGGCTCCCAAAGTACCAAGATCCTCCAAAGCAACATTTCATATACCCAAGTTTCTGGACACAACCGAAATAGATTTTTGATCATACAATTCCCAAAGCTCTCTTCCAAGGATTCTTCGTTTTGCACAAGTTTACTTTCAAGAATAGGTTACTCTCACTTCTATATGCTTCTATCCTAAATGTCCTGCCTGCTGTGGGAGTAAACAAGTTGTCTCTGGTACCCCCACCCAGGGTTCTGTGGCCTCTGGTAGGACAGGCCCACCACACCCATATCTAGACCTGGCTTCCTCCCTACAGGTTAAAGAAGCCCATTTCAGAGTTGGTCAGTTCATGAGAGGACTCCAAACGTCTCTCAGCCTTTCCACAGTTCCAGTCTTTGGAACTGTGTGTCATTTCAGATTCTGTGTAAGTCATGTGATCAGTGCCAGTGAGGACTGGAATTTAAACATTTTACTCAATCAAAGATCTATACATGGAAAACAGTTTTCAGAGAGGATGTTTTAATCCAACAGCTTTCAGTGTCCATATTATTAAAAGATATGAGATCACAAATCACAATGTTACTATCAGTTTCAGGTGCTAGAAAGAAAATGAGAATTCCTGACTTTGTTTATAAAGGTATAGCTGTCTCCTCTCCCCTGGGAGGGCACACACTTGCTGCTAATCCTGCTCCACCACTTCCCATCCCCCCCAGGCACTACCATTACACAAGCGTTGACAAGATACCAGCTGAATGCCATCTCAGTAGCTGTGCCATGCAGCAAAGCCAGCTGACCCTGATGACAACTGATTTTCACCAATAGCTGCAATAGAGAGGGAAGAGAGATAGAAAATACAGGATAAATCATCTTATTTTAGGTGAATTCTGCAGGGTGCAAGGGTACTCTCACTTCATGCCTCTGTTGAAACCAAATTCTAATGAAAGAGTACCTAAGGAAGAGAAAAACAACAGCTTACCAAGCACACTACCCAAAAAATGGTGTTTCAATATTGATAAAGGTTTAGATAAGAATTTAAGATGATCCTACTCTATTAAACCCCCTAGCACTCCCACCCTGCCCCTGAAGCCTTTCATGATTGTACTAGTTTGTCATGACATGAAAAGGCAAAGCAGCACAAGTTGCTGATGGTATAAATGCTGGAAAGCATCTCCTATATCCTATTACTTGAAGGACTTATCACAGGATTTAGACTTCCGCATGTAAGATGATCGTGGCCTCTTTTCAAGGCTTTTAGAATATAATTTTCATAAATCGGTTGGCCCACCAGAGTAATTAAATTAAATAGTTCATATACTGTGAGTCTTGCTGAAGGTTCATCCTGTGCATTTGAGTGGCAGGACTCAAAGTCTTGCAGCTTTCACATATCCCTTACTCTCCACCCCACTCCAGTCCTGCGTCCAGTCCTGGACAGGGGAGATGTCTCCTGAACCCTGATGCCAGTTGTTCTTCAGCTTTTGATCATGTTATACTTTCCCTATAACTCTGGCATTTCCAGATTCATTTTCTAGATCAAGACAAACTTCGCGGTCATCTGGCTTTTGTTAGTGTCCTATGTCCCTGTTCTCTGATTTACCTGCACTCCCCTATCATGTGGAAACTATCCTTCATATGAGTTTAAAAATACTCTTTCACTCACTTCTCCTATAAAGCTTGGAAGTTCTCTAATGCATACATAAGTGTGGGTAAGGATAAGAATACTCAAATGCACACGGATTTTCTGAAATATACTGACATTTTATTAGCTTTATTCCAGATAAGAACATTTAGCCAAATCACAGATTACATTGCTATTGACATTAGATAGAGAATTCCACCATGTAGGACTTCTGAGGCTTGGTACAGTAGTTTGTCTTGATGGCCTCGTGAATACAATCACTATAGTCAGTATTACACTTGCCACACTTACAGCTCACAGCTACAGGGTAGGAGAAATAAGGGGGAACATGGTGTGGACACCCAGGTATTTCTACAGTCTTGTACATGAAATCTCTATATGTACAAACATCCTGGGACAGAGCATATTTGGGAAGAAACAGCTTGCCGTTGATATCCTGAGGACAAAACAGAAAAATGAACATGTGATAGAACTTTAGGACACATACAGAAAATGATTTAAAAAAAAAAAAAAAAAAGGCCCTCCCTGGTAGTGCAACGGGTTAAAGCGCAGCACTGCAAGTGAACAGTAGCCACTTCAGTGCAAGTTCGATCCCCGGATCCCTGGCCCGTAGGTGATCCACGTGGCGTGGCAGACCTCTCCTGACCTGCCCGCTGCTCCCCTCAGCAGTGTACTTTGTTGATCTGCCTGTTCTGCTTCCCACTCTGTCTCTGGTGAGTCCTCTCACACCCTGCACCTCTCGCCTGTATCCCAGTTCTGTGTGCATAAATAAATAAATCTTTTTAAAAAGTTTTAAAAACTCACATATAGTCCTTTGTCACAGAAAGGACTAAGAGGAGATTCTTTAGCCTCATTCCCCAATACCAACTTAATATATCTACTCTGAGTCCCACAAAAATGAAGTTGACCCCCTCTCTTATGTTAAAATAAATTTGGATGTAAACTATTATAAATTTACCTGTACCCTGTGCAGTAGCATTGTAACCTGAGTGTTCTACCTCTACGGAGACAATAACCACGGGAGTTGGAACATGAAGCTGTGATTCACCTCACTTCCTTTCTGGATAGGAATGAACTGAGTCTGGGTTCATTCCTTATCCAACTTGCAACTGAAGTAGGTGAGGCGAACTACATACCCGTGTCATGCAATACCCAGCGCAGATGGTGGTATTGATGCTCAGACAGGAAGCACACTCCTGCCTCTCAACGTGCATCACATACTCAGTTGGAATGCAGAAAGACATCACTTGCCCACAGACAAGGCCAAGAAGCACGGACATCAGGAAAATAGCTGTCATGCTAAATCAAAGACAAAATTAAAGAATATATTATATGTGTCCTTTAGGATATTCAGAAGGGGCTAAAACATTTTAACGTGTGTATGTAATAAAGACACATGTGTGTATAATTTATATGTATATAGGTGTACAAACAATAATAACAGCTACCTTTTGTTGATGGTCTGTTTTGTCCTAGGTCCCATATAAGGTGTTTTCACATAGTTAATATTCTCGGTCCCTTTCCATCCACACTTAGATGTGTCTATTACCCACATATTCCACATTATGAGTAAGGAGCCTAGTAAAGGTCCTTGCTTGCAAGTGCTACTTAATTCTACTGGCCAGTGAAATAGTAAGCTGAATTACCACAACAGAAAGGTGAAAGAAACATACATGTCAACTAAGAACAAAACAATTTATTCATGGAAACAATCCAATTACTGACTCATGATTATAAGGAGTGAATTAACAATTAGATTTCAGCAAGGGTTTTTCCAGAACTGTGTTTTTTGAAAAAACTTTGATGCAGTCGCTTAAAATACCAACAAACTAGTTCAAGTCAGAAAAGGCAAAGAAAATTTATAATCAAACTTTAGTACCATCTTAATGCAAATCATCTTGCATATAATTCTACTCATTAGCTGTCAAAAGATGGAGCTAGAGAAAACACAGAAAGGTTACCCAAAATAATCCCTGGTGTTAAGAGGCTAACCCAGACATCTAGAAATCCCACAACTCTTATTGTGTGACTGTAACATTGAAAGAAGTATAGATGGGAGAAGTAAAAAATTATTTTATTCAGAAGATGCATCAAACTCGTTGACTTGAAAGAACTATAGCAGCAAAAAATGTCGATCGCCACAATAAAGTGATACAACCGAAGGAGACAGACCCACTGTGGGCTGGCCGGGAAAGTGAACTAAATTTTGGCTGTGTGGAAAACAACAAAGGATCCACTGTGCTTTAGACAAAGAACATGTATGTCAACAGATCCTGCCTTATAGTTTACATGAATATTGATTGGACATCATAACGTACTGAATAATGTTATAGTACAATTATTTTAGTTGTACTACTCAGACGGTAATCAAGTTTCAGACTTTTAGATGTAAGTTGATCACCTCAAAGATTAAGAAGATTTTTCAACTACAAATATTGCATAGCTAGGTATATCTGGATTTTTTCCCTCTCAAGTTTCATTATCAGAAAATACTGACTTAATGGAATAGTATTGTTATCTTTCAACAGAAATTTGTTTGCTTTTCTACTAAATAAATTACAAGTCATTAAATTTTTTTATTTTAATCATCAAAAGTGTATCAACATTTTCTGAAACCTGTCCCAATAGCATTTTTAAACTGCACATATGAAGACCTCCATTAATTGAATATCACTTCACATATTAATATCACTTAATCAGAAGTTTGCCTTCAACCAGCCTATAAGAAAAAATGAAAAACCACACTCAACAGGCTATTTTAAATGTCAAGTGTCGGTGGTTAATGGTTATTCCAGTAAATCTCCTATTCCTAGGATGAGAACTGCAGGCATATTAGATAAACATTTTTTGAGCATTTGAACCAGGCACTGAGAGCTACAAAATGGATAAGCTGTGGCCCTTGACCTCAAGAGTTGACAGTTTATAGGAAGAGATTCATGTAATTTCCAAAAATAAAAATACACATAGCCCTACATGCTCTGAAAGAGCCCAAATTATCACTCTTACCAGCCACAAGTACCAAAAATTTTTTCTGTAAGGCCTCCCTGGTGGCACAGGAGTTAAGGCTCAGAACTATCACCCTATTAACCACTGTGGCCGGAGTTTGAGCCTGGCCAGCGAGCTGACCCACATGGAGCAGCAGACCTCTCCTATCTTGTCCACTGCTCCCCTCAGCAGTGGATTTCAGTAGATCCACCTGTTCTTCTTCCCACTCTTTTTCTGGTGAAGCCTCTCACCCCCTGCTCCTCTGCCTGTACCTTAGCTCTTCTATACATAAATAAATAAATCTTTAAAAAATTTTCTTCCATATTTGGGCTCTCCCTGGTGGCTCAATGGGTTAAAGCACCGCATTAAGAAGCTCTCTGAAGCCACTGCAGCACGAGTTCAATCCCCAGCCAGGGAGCTGACCCACATGGCAAGGCAGATCTCTTCTGACCCGCCCACTGCTCCCCTCAGCAGTGTACTTCGGCAGTCTGCCTGTTCTAATAAACCTTTAAAAAAAATTTGTCTTCCATATTCAATGAAAAAAAACTATACCATTAGTAAGTGTTTTCTAGTGACTGCTTTTAAAGAAAATGTTTCTTATTCAAGCATTCCTCTGGTGGTTTTGGTATTCCTATTAGGGAGCAAAAATGCAAGAATTCCTTACTCTCTGAAGCACTTCACAAATGTGAGCTCCCTCTGTGGGGGCAGAATGGGTCCCCTTACTTTAGAGGACCCTCTGCAGGATCTTTAAAATATTAATAGATGATATAAAATAATCAACATATCATATGGTTCTTGCCTGTGTAGCAAGTCAGCTTCCGGGCTTTCACTATAGGAAATAATGAACCTCATATATTCTAGCTTTGAACTCCATGATTCTACAAGAAAAATTATGTGCTACCTAGTAATAAGACTACTGGTCCTGAAGGTAAGGAACAAAATTCTATTTCACAGTCTCCTGTGGATCTAGAAAATGGACTAAAGTGTTTGAACTTGTCTCCCATTTGTTAAGCAGAAAGAACAAGTACACCTGACTTGTTTTAAAATGCAGGTTAAAAGCTGCATTTTATCCATTTATGAATTTTTATCCATTTTTGTCATATTCATTATGGACACTGTATTTTTATTTCCTTTTATAAATGTAAAATTATAATCTAACAAAGGGAAAAGTAAAAGTACTGAATTATCAACAACCACAACTATGTAATTTTGTACATATAAAGAAATATAAAGAAACAGACTAGTCTTTCTCTTTTACTGCAAATATTAAAACTTCACCCCTGGAATCCTTTTGGACCTCAATTTCCTCATATATAAAAAGAAGACTTAAAACTAAAGCATAATCAGCAAGTTCTTTTAGTCCAGTCTGTGGTTCTATGTGATAAATTAGTATCAGATGCCTGGTCTAAGAGTTAGTAATCTTGAATTCTATTTCCAGATTTCACTGCAATTGTGTATAACTGAATAATTTCTTTGTACCTTCATTTTCCCACATACTCCTTCCTAAAATCTCAAAAATAAAACAATGTGTGGTAAACTCTTGAAGAACCCCACAAAAGCCAGACTATGTAACTATATAACACTATATAAATCAGTATCGTTAATACCTCCCTACTGGACCTGCCATAATTTCTCCTTTACTGCAGCTAAATTGCATCTTTTAAAGCCATCACAGTGATTTACTTGGTACCCAAACACGTAAGTCATGATAGCAAGTCCTAAAAAGTGAGAGATGAGGGAAGATTTTATCAGTGACATGATCATATATACTCAGACTCTGCATGTTTTTCCTTATTTCAATTTTTTTTCCTTTGCCGTCACCCCATCTTTCCTCCTTTTTTTCTTTTACCTTCATTCTTAATAAACACATTTTTCTTTGCTCTACTAATTTCCCTTGTCAATATTTTCTCTCTGAATCCTCTACTACACTATGGAGTTAGTTGCCTATTTTATGAACAACCTAGAAACTTCACTAAAGCATGTCTTTTTCTAGAGAACAAATTGTGCAGGCAGGTATGTGTGTTGGACACCCAAGAGGAATTTAGCTATATAACTAACATTATGTAAAGTACATTACCCCTTCAGGTTCTCAAACTGAATTTACCCTAAATTTTCCCGAGGATATGTTATCATCAAAAATTAGTAATTAATTAGGAGTTACTAAACAGATTATTTCATTTATCAACATATTTAAATCTCAATGTGAATAGAAATAGAAAACTACAAATATCAGTCAGTCTCCATTAGGAAACTGACCAGCAGCTCCTCTTCCTTCAAGCCAACGGGCTTTTTCAGCCTTCTACATGTAGTTCACTTACTCTCACCCACTACTGAGCAATTTTGGAACAATAACTACAATTTTTAGAGCCTATCAAAGCAAATTATCACTCAGCACTTGTCACATTTAAGTAAATGCTAGTGTGGTAAAAAGGAGGAAAATTAGAACATTTCATTTCTCAGCCTCTCATGTAGACACCTACCTGACTGCATTGGTGAGCTGATGCTGTGATGACCCAGACTAAAAGCTCTTGGTTCATTTTATACCCTTCAGGATAATTCCTTTCTGATCCTCTTGTTTATATAATTGCATTTGAATCACTGCTTTCTTATCTGAAAAACATCTTTTGAAAATTCATACTGAACCCCAAATAAAATGTGTTTAGATAAACAATTTCACAATATCTTCCTCTGGAAACTCTGACATTATTACAGCATGAATTTTTCCCTTCTCACATTTCAAAGTAAAATTACCCTTTTAAATACATCCTTTAATAATATTTATTAATATTAGCAAATGACATACACAAAAGACAATTTAGAAAGAAAACCACTTATATTATAAAGCTACATAAGTCTCGTGAATGAAAATTTATTTGGGGTTTGAGTGTCCCAGATTTTACTTAAATGCTCGTTTAGAGATATATAAAATTACTGTTCATCTACAAGCAAGGCAACTTCTTTATAGCCACGCAGAGCAATAGGTATGGATCCTGGCTCTGCCACTGGCTGGCTACGTGACACTGCATGCTGCTGCAGCTTGCTTACTGCAGTGTCTGCACCTTATAAAGAAAACATCATTGTTTGTGTGCAGCACTCACAATGTCTGGCACATAATGAGGGTTTAATAAATCATAGCTGATTTCTAGTGATTCAACATTTATTTTTTTTTTTATTTTTTTTTAAAGATTTATTTATTTGTGCATACAGAGCTGGGGTACAGGCCAGGGGCGGGGCGGTGAGAGGCTTCACCAGAGACAGAGTGGGGAGCAGAACAGGCAGATCGATGAAGTACACTGCTGAGGAGAGCAGCGGG